ATATAATGCACTTGTAAGACAGAGACAACACATGCGGGTATCACGTCCTCTTAATGATGTTATACATATAGTGTACTAACTGCAGTATACATCATATTAAATACCTAMATCTAGATGCAGTTTATCCAGACTCGGCACAATATGAACAAACATAATTAACGGCGCTATATTGGTTGTAGTCTAACTAGGAAGWGTAGGAACTACTACCTCAGTTCACGGGCAAATTGACATCGAGGCGATAATCCGTTTTGTGGACTAATTTGACCGATATTGGCAATCCGCGTCATATGTGGTGCCGTGGTGGATTAGATGTAGYGCTTGATATAATTTCCAAAGTGATTAATTAATCCATACTCTCTAAGAAAATTTTCTGAAACTTTTTCCAAAATCTAAAGAGTATTTTTCAAGACTGTAAGCTACAAACATGAGGAACTTCGATTTTAAATTTTATTTCTGTATTCAATGACAATCCTGAAATTATGATGAAAGGAAAAATTATTCGATTTTCCGATTTTCGTCTGCTAACCGAAATTCATGCGTAACTGTGTGAACCATCACAAATCAACCTATATAATGGTTGAAGCTTTCCACTTGAAAGAATATATTTAAAACACACACTGARTTTCAAGGAATCTGTTTATTGAAATCGATTCAATAGTTTTGAGATATCACGTTAAAACATACAAACTCTTCAGCACAATTATTATAATACTGATATAAAAGCATAAATGTATACATTGGACATACCAAGTGGATTATTTTAAAAATGTTAGTAATTACTGACAATATTTTTTTACGTACAACTAAGTTGTTAAAAAACAATTAATTTTCTAAGAAAAAAGTTTTATATTTTTTGTCGTTATCATTTTTATATTTTTTAATTGACAAAATACATGATGTTTAATTCTACATGACAAAGCAGAATGTTTTTCGGAGTACTTTAACACATAGCAATAATTAAATTTTGGACGAGTATGTATAGCAGGGGTGGCCAACTTACAGYTCGCGTTTATTAAAAAAAACAACATTTACTTACTAACGATAAAATTATAAAATATGTTTTTTAACGTTTTGGCTTTTGATATCATTGTATTTACCCATGTGGCTCGTGGACGTATTCATGTTAGTCACCTCAGATATATAGTTTACAAGTTATAATTTGTAGGTATGTATTTATAGTTTAGGTAAACGGAGAGTAGTTCAAGGATACTCCGCAAAATGCTAATCCCTTCTTCGCTTATATCTAAACTTTATACATTTATAAAGTAAACACTAACAAACTAGATAAGTCTTGTCTGAAATTTAATTTTCCAAAAAGCGGCGTATAATCAGCTATTCTGCATGTTTACTCGTTAGTTGTTAAAGCTGATCAGATGATTACAAATAAGTTATTGACACTAYGTTTTTCTATTCACTGTATCAGATATAATGTTGTTAAGCTTAATATATTTCATTATTGGTGAACAATTATAAAAAATAGAAACAGAATATGACACTAGTACAGTAGTACCCTATACCGGCTATACCTAACGAAAAATAATACAAAAAAAAGTAGGTGTATAAGTATAAACGACGCGTGTTTTGACTAAAGACTGACAGAAATACWATTTTATATTAATTATCACTTATCAATTACAATATAAAGTACGTAGCATGCTCTAGTTTTTCATAAGCCAACTGATCATTGTTTTTTTCCTTGTTGAAATCAACGTTAAGCCGTAACATGGATCATTGATTCATAAAGATAATATTATACTTGTTTGCTTTAAGCATAATTATTACGATATTTACTAGAAAATAACGTG